CACCCAATCGTGCATCACTTTGCACTTTGAAGGTGCAAAGCACATACCGAATGTGGCAAGTGTACTTGTTGGTCTATTAAATGTGCTTTGTGCATCCTCCATACATTCGAACAGACAGATGACTTCATCAGCGTACTCTAAATCGCGCATCTTTTCTCCAACTGCCCATTCAATACCTGCGTTTTGGAGACTACGACGAAATTGCACAGGAACGGCGAAAGAGGACACCCGTGNGCTGCTAGCGACGAGTGGCCTACTTAGTTCATCATAGACCTTTACAGGACCAGTTCAGTTTTGACAACCATTAACCATGCACTTTCGTGCGCTGGTTTTGGGTGTTGTCGTTTGGTGTCCCGTTTGGATAAACGAGCAGAATGAAGATTGGAATGTTGAAAGCAAATTCAAGCGGAAGATGGAGAATTTATAGAGTGGTGTGAGGAGAATAATGACTGGAAGCACCCAACCAGGCTCATGCAATGCGACGTAGACATCGATGTTTGAACAACGGAAATCTATTTTTATCCTGTTCCCGTAGTGGTCAAGTCTCTGCACCGTAGAACAGAACTGCCCGAACTGCTGCAGTATATACTCGACCCTTCACAGACAGCCGGATGTCGCGACGGCGCCAAAATGTCTTAAGTTGGCAAACGCCAACCGAGCCTTGTGTATGAGAGCCGACACTTCATCTGTGATGCGTCCGCCAGATGAGATATAGCTGCCCAGATAGCAAAACTTGTCCACTTCCTCTACTACGTCCCCAGTCAGGATGAGACTAGGTCCTGAACCAACCCAATCTTGGAGCAACATATTACAATTTGAAGGTGCAAAACTCATGCCGAACATGAATACACTAGCACTCAAACTGTCCAGAAAAGCTTGCAACTTACTTGGACCTTCACTTAGTAGCACAAGATCGTCTGCATACTCTAGATCAGACAGTCCGTCACCTGGGAGTAAATCGATACCGCTTTCCTCGCATGAGGATAAAGCTGTTTCAAGAATCAAATCTATCATGAAGTTGAATCAGATTGGAGAGAGGACAACCCTATCGAACACCACTTTTCGTGGTGAACTCGGGTGAAAAAGTGCCGTAAGCCCGGACTCGGTTTCGGCTATTAGTATAAAAGGATTGTTAGATAGAAATAAACTTCTGGGGAACACCCTTTAGAGCAAGGCAGCGCCAGAGTTTAGAGCGGTCGACTGGGTCGAAAGCCACTTTCAGACAGAGGAAGACAGAAATGGTGGGTCCAAGAAAGGAGTGTCTGTGCTCTAAGATTTGACGAAGAGTAAAGATGTGGTCGATACAACCTCGACCAGGTCTGAAACCAGCCTGGTTCTCACGTGTGCACTCTTCACGAGCGGTAGACGATCGACGGAGTATAACACCCGCGAGAAATTTAGAGACGATATCGACTGAACTAATTCCTCTGTGGTTTTCATAAGAGGATCACCTTTCTTGTAAATCGGTATGATCACCGATTGACACCATTTCGTTGAAACCTCTTCCCTCTCCCACACTGAACCGAGGAGTTTTATTAACTCCAAAACCAAGGCTGAGCCTCCATCCTTAAAATCCGATAGGAACAGTCCGTCAGGGCCGGAAACCCTATATCTTTTCAGATAATTTATTTCGCGGGTAACCTAAACTTCAGATGGAGGATTGATGTCAACTGGCAGTATTTGCACAGTCGAAGCGGGTAGGGGGAGGTCTTGTGTCGATGGGGGCCAGCTGAGCTGTGCCCTAAATGCTCTGCCCATCGATCTAGACGGCATTGCTGAATATGAATAAGTGTGCCTTCACACTCCTTAATTACTTCACTTACGCCTACTTTCCTTGGTCCCATACTCCTAATCAAACGAAAAAGATTGCGACTATTACCGATAACCGCAGCCTCCATCTCTTGGCACTTGCCTAAACACCACTTCTCGCGGTCATTCCTTAGGCTCTTGATGAGCTGGTGTTTAAGGGATTTGCATGCTTTGTCGTATTCTGAATCCGAAGGAATGGCTTTGCGAGCGTCCAGCAGGGCAACCGAGGTTGGGGAGATACATCGTTTTTTATTTGATCGTACGCCGGAATTTGCTTCCTTGATTATCGTTCAGTGTTGTTGGTCCTCCAGATGACGGTTGAGCTGAAGCGATCTGATAGTTCCGCTTTGAAGGCCGATCTGCAACCGTTGCTGGTACTGTTGTTTGGACATCCGTTTCTGGTGGCTTTTCGGCGGCTGTTTACTANTTTACTAGGCGTAGAGAGAATCTCGCTCGTAACAAAGCATGGTCTGTGTCCACGGGTGTTGACCAGCAGAAGCGACAGTCTTCAATGGGTCCTCGCCAGCCGTGGCTGATAGCAATGTGGTCGACTCAAGTCCAGCACTGTGAAGCGGTTGGCGGTTCCCATGTAAGGCGGTGTCGTTTCTTGTGCGAGACGGCTCCGGTTGAAAATTCCTCCAGAAAATTTACCTGCCTTAGCCTGCGCAACCTAGCAGTATTCCGCTCACAAAAAATCATGAAATTTGCTCTTTTTCATGAAGATTATTAAACAATGGTTTGTTTGATCCATAGTCTGAATTCAAACAGGTGTGAAACACAACATTACCCAAGTTCGAAACCTGCCTTCACCAACCAACTTTGGTGGTAGGCAGCTTAGCTGTCGCTCGGTTCCATACCACGCCTATTCTAGCGGGACTTTACGTGTTTCGCCACTCCAAGTCCCGGGTCTAGGTTACCGGTCTCCATTACTGGTTGGGACATGTGCTACGCAAGTCACCAGATAAGTTGCCACTGCGAACGACGTTTGCCAAGGCTGGTAGCGATTGGAAAAAAACAAAGGGCGGTCAAGCTAAGACCTGGCATGAGGGTATGAAAACCCTAACCAGGAGACTAGGTCACATAGGCCCCGTTAGGCTCCCTGGCTGGGGACCTCAGGATGGTGGTCACCGATGGTTAGAGACACTGAGTGATATGGCTGGGTGTCGCAAACAGTGGCGCTCGTGCATCCACTCGTTATTTTCCTAACACCACTCTATACGAATTCTCCATCTTCCGCTTGAATTTGCTTCGACATTCCAATCTTCACTTCGCTCTTTTATCCAAATGGGCAACCAAAACCGGCGCACGAAAGTGCATGGTTAATGGTTGTAAAAACTGAACTGAAATGATTACTGAATAGCAGGTCAACGTGAATATGGAGCTCACCCCGGTTGCTGTTCATCGCACAAACATTGTGCTAAAAAATCCAAAGTCGCGCACGAAATTGCATAATGGTTGTAAAAAGTGAACTGATCGAAGGTGAATCATCGCTGGTACGTAACACCTTATAAGAGCATTATATCCACGACCCTCAAAATATCTATCTTGCATTACTCTTGGTCATGTCTTCGCCTTTGTACACCATGGAACGTCATTATGGGGAAACCACGGTTCGATGACATGGACTATCGATAATGCATGGATGTTTTTGAGTGATAAATCTGTGACTGAGTTATGAAGTGATTCAGATGCAACAGAACCGTAGATGGGAGATAAATAACTGAATAAAAGTGGGTTCGCATTTTCGGCCTTGGGGATAAAGAGCCCTTTGAGGACTCTACGCGCCGATATAATTTTGGTTCTTGATTTTCTCAGCTAACATACTACAATTTTATGATATACTTTAGTGTGACTAATAGCAAATGGGGTAAACCCCATAGTCACGAGGACCCACTGTTTAGTGATGGAAACCGGTAACCTAGGCCACGGGGCTTAGAGTGGTGAACCACGTAAGGTTGGACGTTATTAAACCAGNTTAAACCAGACGACAGCAAAGCTGTCTACCACCAAACTTGGGTGGTGGTGGCGGGGCTTGAACGTAATCAGGCTTTTCTGTGGAGAAAAATCATCCTCCAGGCTGAAAATGTGAACTTTCCTCTATTCTGCCGTCTCCCATCTACAGTCCCGTTGCTTCTGAATCACGTCATTATCGTCAGATTTATCAATTAAAGAAACTGGAATCCGTGCATTAGTTGTGGAACATAACCGAACCTTGACATTCGCCGCGGGAAGTGGCCACGTTTACTATGAATAAGACATAGGAAACGAATGTCTATCGACTATAACCAAAAAACAAATCACATATTGATACATACACGCTGTCGAAGGTGAGGGGACTTGTGGAAAATGTCCTCTTGTTCATTTTTCAGCAATGTCAATCTTCAGAGTGCTTATAATTAAATTTTTATCCGAGAGGTCTATAAATCCTGTTTCGGTCCGACTTGTTTGTCATGGATATATTTGAAGTAACATTATTTTGCCTTTTGAATGCCATCCCTTTTTAATGTGAAGCCCCTTTATTGCTTTAATGTCACACATCACCAGTTCATATACAACCTCTGATTTCACACAACTTCTGATGAGCGGCGCCGTGCGCTGGCTATATGTGAATTTCATGCTGACGATTCTCATAGGCGCGACAATGCTCGCCACCTACTTGGTTCTTGCTGTTATATTACTCGAGCCTGATAAAACAATATCGATCAATTGGGTTTATACTCGAGACAGCTTAAGCCCGTTTGAGGTGCTAAACATTGTCCGCATGCTTCAGATGCCTCTAACAAGGTTGAGCTTGTCATGCATGAACACGTAAACCGATGACTTAAAATATACAGTGGCGTTATTTTGGTTGTTATATGAAGTATGAAAATCACTCAAATCACTTTTATTACACTAGTCGTTCAACACCTGGCGGTTGGTAACTGCGCTGGGAAACAGTCTTGCGTTATGTTCATCTTATTATTTATAGGGATCTCTACCCAAAGGCCTAAGGCCAAGGCTGGAAAATCTCATAATCAAAAGATTGTCAGACCTAGTGTCTGGTAAACGGGTGGAACGTTAACTCAACACGTACCTTTAATAAAAATATTGCCGTTTTTGTCAGTTCGGAGTTCCAATGGTTTCTTTCGAAGCCGATTTGAACAGTCGAAAGATCCCATGGGCTGCGTTGTGGTACTAAAAATATTTCTTTGTGTCCCTACTGTTGCACCTCCGCGTGAAACTGCTGGTGGTTGTAAAAGATTGGATGCCGACAAACACTGAGTTGGATCCAACAGATCAAATATTAATTCATTGTAAATTTCAGCGAAACTGATCCAAAATGTGAACCGTAATTCACTTGTATATTGTGGCCGCACGAAATCGTTTGCTGGTATCATCGGCGTAAATTCTGCAGGTAATTCGTCTTTTCTGGTGAGCAAATCCTGAGACTTTTCTGAGGCATGTGACTGCGATTCAAAGAACATCATTGATTCCTAACAAATTTATTATCTTATTGCGACGATCTTACCTCACTCATGGTGCCCGCAAGTCGGATCAACGTTGCCTTTTCTTTCATGATCTTTTCCACTTCAACAGCACTGAGTGGAGCAACGTCAGAATAGTCCTTCGGGAAGAGGGACACGTTTGACGTATGTTGAAGAGAGGAGAAAATCATGGAGAATGCACGCGGGATCATGCCCAAATCCCCCAAAGAACCTTTGAAATAAATGAATTCGTACTCATCGACACACCTTGGAGAGTGTATGTTTTCCCAGAGCTGGTAGTCCCATATGCAAAAATTAGACCATTAAGGCCCTCGAGAAAGCCACGAATCTGATTGAGAGCGACGGTTTCAAATAAGGTTGATTGCGTTGTACTGTCGTCAAAAACCTCAGAAAACGTAAAACTATGCGTTGTGCGCTTTGCATCCCGGAGAGAAACTTTTTGACTCTCTGGTGGGCAGGCAACAACGGTATATCGATTTAGACATTTGAGAACAAGCTAAGGAAATATTTTGAAATATGAAAGAACAAACCTCCGAAACCGTTTTGAGTGGTTTGATTCTTAGGTAAACTTTCATCAGTTCATTATGCGAGTGCGGTTTGTTATCGCATGCATCAAAATCCGCAAGTAAATTGCGGTTGAGCGCGGATAGACGGAAACCCTCGATCGTTCCAAAGGATGGCATTCGTGGACAAATGAAAGAAAGCAGCGATTTCCCTTCTTCAACAGACCTGCAAACGACAAGTAAAATTCAGGAGAATAAAATGCACTCACATCACGGAGATTGAAACCAGCGCGTCTTTCTTGATGGTTGAATTTCGACGCGGTGTAGCGTTCAGGTCAGGTCCAATGTCTTGAAGTCTTGAAGTGATTCACGGGTTCGAGGCTGTTGCACAAATGTCCCGGGTCC